CTTCAAGAGTCTAGTATGTTCTTTAAGTCTTAGTATGTTCTTCAAGAGCTTATATTTCTTCAAGAGTCTTATATGTCTTTAAAAGCTTTTGTAGTGTTCTTCAAAAGTCTTAGAGTGTTTTTCAAAAGTCTTTTAGTGTTTTTCAAGAGTCTATGTTCAAGAGTCTTAGTATGTTTCTTCAAATCTTAGATTTTTTCAAAAGTCTTTTAGTATTCTTCAAGAGTCTTAGTATGTTCTTCAAAGTCTTAGTAGGTTCTTCAAGATCTTGTAGTGTTCTTCAAGAGTCTTAGTATGTTTTTTCAAGTCTTAGTAGTGTTCTTCAAAAGTCAGTGTTCAAAATCTTAGTAGTGTTCTTTAATCTTAGTAGTGTTCTTCAAGATCTAGTGTTTTTCAAGATTTTTAGCAGTGTTTTTCAAAGTCTTAGTAGTGTTCTTTAATCTTTTTAGTGTTCTTCAAAAGTCTTATAGGTTGTTTAAGAGTTTTTTTGTAGTGTTCCAGATCTTCTATGTTCTTCAAGATCTTATATGTTCTTCAAAGTCTTTGTAGTGTTTTCAAGAGTCTAGTGTTTCTTTAAGATCTTTAATAGTTTTCTTTTAAGTCTTAGTAGTGTTTTTTCAAGTCTTATAGTTTTCAAGGCTTAGTAGGTTCTTCAAGATTCTTTTAGTGTTCTTCAAGAGTCTAAATAGTTTCTTCAAAGTTTTTATGTTTTTTCAAAAATCTTAGTAGTGTTCTTTAAAAGTCTTAGTAGTGTTCTTCAAAAGTCTTAGTATGTTCTTTAAGATTTAGTATGCTCTTCAAGAGTCTTTGAATGTTTTTGAAGCGTCAAAAGTGTTCTTCAAAATCTAGTATGTTTTTCAGTCTTAGTAGTGTTTTTTTCAAGATCTTTGTATGTTCTTCAAATCTTAATGTTCTTTAAGATCTTAGTAATGTTTTTCAAAAGTCTTTTAAAATGTTCTTCAAGTCTTAGACTGTTTTTCAAGTCTAGTGTTCTCAAAGTCTTTGTATTGTTCTTAAGTCCCCAGTAGGGTTTCTTCAAGTCTAGTTTCTTCAAGAGTCTTAGCAGTGTTCTTTAAAAAGTCTTTGTATGTTCTTTAAAATCTAGTATGTTTTTTCAAGAGTCTTTTGTATGTTCTTTAAGAGTCCCTTATAAGGGTTTTTCAAGTCTTATATGTTCTTCAAGAGTCAGTGTTTTTTCAAGAGTCTTAGTAGTGTTCTTCAAACTTAAGGGCTTTTAAGTCTTTATGTTCCAAGAGTCTTATAGTGTTTTTCAAGATTCTTTGTATGTTTTTTCAAGAGTCTTATATATTCTTTTAGAGTCTTTATGTTCTTCAAGAGCTTATGGTTCTTCAAGAGTCCCTAGTAGTGTTCTTCAAGAGCTTAGTAGTGTTCTTCAAAGTCTTTTGAGTGTTTTCAAGAGTCTTATAGTGTTTTTTTTAAGATTTAGTAGTGCTCTTCAAGACTTAGAAGTGTTTCTTGAAGCGCTTAGTATGTTCTTTAAGAGCTTGTAGTGTTCTTAAGTCTTTGTAGTGTTTTTTCAAGAGTCTTAGTAGGTTCTTTAAGAGCTTAGTAGTGTTCTTCAAAAATCTTGTAGTGTTTCTTCAAGTCTTTTACGTTCTTCAAGTCTAGTGTTTTTCAAGATCTTATAGGTTCTTTAAGATCAAGTTCTTCAAGAGTCTTATATTTTCTTCAAATCTTAGTATGTTTTTCAAGAGTTTAGTGTTTTTTTAAGCGTCTTAGCATGTTTCTTCAAGAGTCCCTTTGTAGTGTTCTTCAAGAGTCTTATAGTGTTCTCAAGAGTCTTAGTAGTGTTCCTTCAAGAGTCTTAGTAGTGTTTCTTCAAGAGCTTAGTAGTGTTTCTTCAAGAGTCTTAGTAGTTCTTCAAGAGTCTTAGTATTGTTTTTTCAAGTCTTAGTAATGTTCTTCAAGAGTTTAGTGTTTTTCAAGGTCTTTGAGTTCTTCAAGAGTCTTAGTAGTTTCTTCAAGAGTCTTAGTAGTGTTCTTCAAGAGTCTTA